CGTGAAGTGTTGTTTTTATGACACAAAAAATATCTTTGTGAGTCCCTGATACAAAAAGACTTGCTCCCGTACGTAGTAAATAGTGTTTTGAATACGTTCAGTGTTTTCGCTTAAATCTTACGTAGGATTTACCCCAAAATGAATATTTCTCCATCGATCTGGATCGTCTCGAGACCCCTTGAATTTTAAACGAATATATTGAAAAAATAATTTGGAGACATTTACTTCACATAAAACTAACATTTTCAAATTTTGTCAAAATTTCAATTGTTTTCCAGAAAACGGCATTGTAAGCTTAAGAAATGACGCACATTAAATTTTCATTAAATTCTCTGATTTTTACAAGAAATTGGAAAAGTTATGTTTTTTGGAACTCCAATACGAGTACATTCTTGATGTTTAAGAAACCCTTTCAAAATAAAGCAAAACAGTACGACCTGTTAAAATAATACTAGGTCATTTTTATAGGGAAAACCAAAGTTTTTATCAATTTAATTGTATACACGCACACAAACTGTTCCAACAAACCAAAGAATTTGTAATTCAGCTCCCACCAGTATTATTGAATGACTGAATGCGGCAATAGATATATTTTTTTCAATGTGGATCACTCAAGAGCTAAAAAAATGGCTTAATATGTTTGCAAAGTGTCGTAGGTTGTGAATAATTACGGGAGTATTCTTTTTTACATTATAGTTTTAAAAAGTTTTTTTCGCTCACTCCCTCTCTCTTTTACTAAAAGAGTATTCCTCCGAGCAATAATTAACAGAATTTGTGCCATTAGTCGTTTCTATGAAAGAGATGGTACTGTTAGAAAACTTTTGCGAATATTTGACGAATGTTCATAAAATTGCCAGGGGCTCCGAACACGAAAAAAATATTTTGAACTTTTCACATAGATTCAAATACTTTTTGAACGAGCGAAAACCGCCTTTTTTGACCTACATGACTTAACACTCGTCGAGTGCTCAGTACCAGTATTCAACACTAGAAATGCTTAGAATGTAGTATCTATGTTACATTAGTTCTGACACTTCAGAATATTCTCACAAAATATCGTGAAAAACCTATTTATAATTTGCAAATGATGTGCATAAAATTATTTAAAGATGTAATATAAAGAAACAGATTGCAATAGGAAATAAAATTCTGGTTTCAATATTGAAGGTGAAGTCGTGCAAAAATGTTAAACTTTTGTAAATTGAGAAAATTTAAGAGGTTTGAATATAAAAACGGTTGTATATACTACAATATATTTGTGATTTCCACTTTATCCGTCCCCAAAAGGGATTTTTCCACTAAATCTCGACCTATGATAATCTTGAACCATATCCAATACTTTTCCTCTATATTACGAATAGATGAGAAAAAGAAATTGAGAATTGCAGGAAGAAGGGAAGAAATTGCAAGGCAACCACAAATATACTTCATTGGTTAAATGTTTAACGGATGATATTCAGTTCAAAAATATTTCTCGTCTCCTCCAAAGCTCTTAGAAAATTAAATGTGTGAATATTCAAGGAAACATGTTGCCCAATTCAAAAAAGGAAGAGCAAACGATGTTTGGGAATTTCTCCTTTCACAATGAAATAAGCAAATAAGGATTTACACTAGCCAGATACACTATTAACAGATTTGATAATATGTAACCAGAAATTATTTAAAGGTCTAATAATGAGAAGTAGATTGGATAAAAGAAAAGTCTCTAGTTTTAATATGAAAGATATGCCATAGGACAGTTCCGACAAAAATACACTTTCCTAAATTCCTGTATTCAACAAATTTCAATGAAAATGAAACCGATGCTATATTATTAAGCGAAAGTTGCTCTACTCGGAGAATTAAATTAAAAATTGTATCCGTTACGAGAAAGTTTTGAAAATGTAATAGCGACTTCTTTAAGTATCCGATATATTCTTTAAGTAAAAATGAACTAAAAAACAAGTATAAAATTCGCACGGTCGAGACATCAGCCAGATCGATTAGGGAATTTCCGTTTGAATGAACATGCAATGGACCATTTAAACGTTAGTGACGGACTGACGCATATTTTGAAAAAAAAAAAACATTTTGTATCGGGGACCCCAATTTTTACATCCATTTTTTTGCCATTTCAACTTTTTCCTATATCACATAGGCAAGACATACCTATTTAGAATCTATCACAGACCAATAAGTGAAATAAAAGACGATTTCTGCGAATCTATGCACCAATTATCCGTTTATCTCCACTGATTTTTTTATTTTTAAGAAATTGTTATTTTATGTTTTGGACGTAAGTACAAATTTAGCTTTTGTAATGTTATTTTTATTAATTTTCAGCTGGTTGGTAACTTATCTTCAACAGCTAAATCCCCTGATTGGCCCTCTGGTACCCAAAGTAGCAGCAGGACACATGAAAACGCACAAATAAATATTCCGAAATACGTTTCACCGTTATTCCGAAAATTGTTCAGCGGAAGTCGAAAGTATAATTTTATATTTATTTAGGTACATAATAATAGAAGTGTGTTCGCATGAAGCTTGTGATAATTTACTGAACGACAATTATCTTTTAAAATAAATCTTTACATCAAGTGATTCAAAAAAATGTAATTCGTTTAGGTTTCTAGAACTTAAAATTTCATTTTTAATTTTTGTATTTTATTATTATCATATTTGTTGTATCTTCCATGTTTCCATTAACATGCTTTAATGCGTGAAACAAGTAACCTAACTACAGCAACTTTTATAACCACATTTGTATTATTGTATTTGTCCAGTAATATTAACTAATACTGAACATTGTTTCCTACTGATTTTTTCCAACGCCAACAGAAGTTTCACGAATCTGTGTAATTCGTTACTTTTAGCTACAATAAAAAGTATTCATTGCATGTAAGCAATAGTAACATTTCAATATTATATACGTCAAGAACATTCATTTCGCAATATTTAAAAATTTCTCCAAATCTAACGCAAATTTCAAACAATGTAAACAATAATATATTATCATTAAAAGTTATTACAATCCCAATCATTAATGTACATTTTTCTCAAAATTAACAAACATAATAAAACTTTAGAAAATAATATTTACTAAACGTGTCAATGAATAAAATTATTTAGTGGACTTTCATGTAATAATCATATTGAAATTGTTTACCAAAAAACCTGTAGATTTTTTTCACGTTTTCTCTGTTTATTCGCCCCTTGATATCAGAATTCAAATAAAATTTTAACAATATTGTAGAAGATTGAAACCTACTTCCTAATGTAAATGTTCGCTGTAACATTTGGAGCTGCTTTAAAAAAAATAATTATACAAAAATTGTCTTTATTCCACAAAAAAGTAGGTGAAGAGTACTTTTTTTTGACAAATTGTATTCAACTTGTTTCAAGATCTGACAGACTTCATTAACGAAAAGAATCTTCATCTTCAATATTGTATTGGTTGGAAGTTGCCAACAAAAATTAAATTTTTAATTTTTCGAAAATCAGAAATTTTAACGAAAGTAGGACCCGTGCCATTGTTACGCATTTTATCCGAAGATAGGTTCAATTTTTTTTAATTGAAGCCATTTCTGACAACATTTAGAAGATGATGTTGAGGCTTCATGTGAAGCACGGAAAGAAAATGAAAAGATCCGTTTAGTGGCAGATACGAACAGTGGCAGCACCTTGAGTTCGTTCACATCGACCGCAGAATATCAATTTTGAAGCAAAAACTGTTTGAGTACTAGATTTGACCACAGAAGGATGGTCCAGACAGGCTAGACATGGCAATTCCTATCAGAGGACGGAAAAAAAAAGATTGTACTTTTAGAGGTCATTTGCAGAAGAAAACGATGGGATCGGTTGCAACCCAGTCTCTGAGGGCTATAAGGGATAAGAACACAAGCAAACTGGCCCAACGAAATCATTAGATTTAAATTTCTGACAGCCGAGCACGTTCTGGAATATACAGGAACGAACCGGGCAGATATAACATCTGCGCCGCCTCTAGAGAATTTGAGTTTTACGTGAAATTCCATTAAGTGGGATCTTGAGTTAATGAAACTGACCTAAAACACCAGTGCGTTAAATTCAAGTCGCCGTACCATTTATTCAAGCACGATCCCTGACGACCACGTCAATTGGCTTTGAATGGAAATTGTCACGATTCTCGGATCAATCGTCAGGCAGTTCTTGCTGTGGTGGCTTTCTTTCGCGGGAATTAATTTAAACAAATTCGTGCAAATACCAACCGCGTCCAACTACTTTCCTGGAAAACTGACGGCCACTTTGCACCCGCCTTGAGGTTTGACATTGACTGATCGGAATGCATTGACAGCGTGTTTATTCCAAGACGTCTACCACCTTTTTGTAAATTTCATCACAAAGAATCCTTCTAGGTCTGTGGAAAGGTGGGTCTAGTTTACTGGAACGTTTTCAGTGTCGTGTAATGAATACAATTTTATTTATTACTCCAGTCTCTTAGGAGGCAGGAGATATTTAATCCATATAATACTTTAACAATGCAAACCGCGTTGCTTCTATTTTCAGAAAATGAGTTAATGATATCACTAAAACATATTTTCTAAAAAATAATCAGTTTTTATAATTGCTAAATGCTACTTTGTAAATGGTCTCACTGTTGACAATTTTGAACTTCAAATTAGTCTCAAGAATTCATTTATGTCAGTGTGCATCTCTATTATTTTTCTGTGTTACAGTAAGTTAATAGTAAATACAGTTATTAGGGTCCCATGTCTACGAATAATATATAAATATTGAGAAATTACAGCAGGTTAGCAGTCATTGACTGCGACAACATTAACCTTACTTTAATGAAAATAGTTCACTATTTTATATATAACTATAATGTTATTCATAAAATATGAGCATTAACAACTTGATTTAATGCCTTAACGTTTTTTCAGCTAATAAAGACGTCGTATTTACTCTCTATACAATGGTATTTCACCTCATCAACAGATCAATAAAATGAACGGCGTCTTACATTGTAGAACACAACTTACCTTGTGTGCGGATGACTCCAAGTGCTTACGTAGTCTTCTTGACGTACACCAAGTGAACATGTAAGTCCTCCTGTTTTGATGAATCATGCAATGTTGTATGCAAATCCCAGAACAGTTATTTCTGTCTCTTAAACGATTATCCAATTCACGTCAACAAAACTGTACTAGATCACTGTCGTTTTTGGTGTGTTCTGAATCACTTGTCAATAGATTTTGTCAGAGAAAATTGCAACAGATGTTTAACTGATTACTTAAATAACTTTGTTGTCACATTAAATAACACGAAAGTGGTTCACACAGATTCGACACTCACGCACTCAATATCAGATTCATCGGATTCCGTCGAGACATCAATGTCATTGAACTCCAAATAACGCGATAACATAAACGCACCCACTCTGAAGACCAGCGAACTGAATACTGCGAACATCATTTTGAGAACACACTCAGGTGTGCCAACACAAAAAAGTAACAACCGATTTCAGTTAGAGAAAATAGGAACAACGTCAGTATACACGAGAAATTAGTAATGGAATAATAAATTAGGCTAAATGTGAAAATAGAAAATCGCTTATTCTTGAAATATTATAAGATTTATTAAAATGTATTAAATTAATATGAATTCCAATCAAAGTACTTTGCGATTTCAATTACGAATAATTTAATAAGCTCGGTTGTTTAAAATTTCTTTGTCTTTTATTCATTCGTTGACGGAAGCAGTATATTCACGTAGCAGCGAAAGTCTCTACACTTCTGATGATGGCACAGCTTTTTCACGCACCAATTGAAGAAAATAGAAATTACAGTTCTCTAAATGTATTTGGAGCAGACCACTCAGCTCGACAGAGGTCCACAGAAGGTTCAGCAGCACGTATTTAAAGAGTTACTATGTAACTCGGAATAAAACTATATCTTCACTTTGACGAGGGTCTGAGCTCTCCGTCGAGACACAACTTGCAGAGTTACCACCTGCGCCAAGCAGTAGATCCCCTTGAGAGCACCTCTACACGGCGTGCCCCAGAAGCAGCGCGAGGCTCGGCCGGCTAAAGGCTACTGATAACGCGAGGGGGCCGTGGCCGGAAGGCACTGCTTGGGGCGAGGCCACGTGGATAGCGGCGCCAGGCGGCAGCCACCCCGAGCTGGCTCTGTCCCTGTCGCGGTCAAGTGAACCCAAAGAGAGCCAAACAAGTCCACTAAGATATTTTGGGGGTGGTCATCTGCGACGCGGGACATGGTTCCTGGCCGCAAATATTTCGGTACTTTTATTGTGGTTTTGTCTTCCTAAAGGCTTGAGAAATAAAAAACATCAGTTTGAGCTTGGTGCTGTAAGATGGCTAAGGACGTGTTTTGGTTGAAACTTATAATTTTTTTAAATTATGTATTCTCGTACTTCTACCTTTGCAGTTTTAATGTTGACGCTGAACATTGCTGTACTGTCACAGTGCCCTTCAGATAAGTGCTTAGGGACTATCGCTCGTAAGCTCAGGTACACTCTGTTAAGCCACGAGAGCTACTTTTTGGCATCATTCATGCCAAACCAAACTGAGGGGGCGTGGTCAGTTACACGTAGAAATGATTCACTTTTATTCACAAGCATTGACCTCCACCAGCAATTTATTCACAAGGAAGTTTAGCAGGAAAAATATTGCTGAAGAAAACATCAGAAAAAGTTTTACAAAAAGTGGTAGGCACACTAAAAATAATTAAAATAGCGTAGAAAAAACACTACAATAAATTAAATATTTGAATAAAAATCAGTCTTTAAGGATCCTGCAAAAACGTTGTATAGTGGTAGTACAGTACAACACTTCTTTTCATACCAAGATTATCACAACAGTTGCTATTTAATAACGCTATACGTGAATAGTGAGCTGTGACCAAATAAGTACGAGAATGAAGTGGGTAATCTCAGTACGAGAATATTCGAAATAAAACATTTGAGTATTGGTAAATGTTTTCATTCAAAATTGAAACACTTTCATTCTTCTAAAATGGCCGAAGGTTGCATAGCTTTCCTTCAATACCTGCGTGCATTGAATATAATATATATGGATTATTGGATGTAAGAAGCTTTTACTCTCTATTATTGTCATTCCTCCAATTGGAAAATGTTTGCATGGCATCACTATGTGGCTATGATGCAAGATAAGTAAACTTTTAATATTTTCGTAAGAAATAAAATTAGCATGCATAATCCTGAGATTAATATTGAAAACATTGCAAGTTAAATTAAAAGCCTGATGAAAGTAAACAAAGGAAGGTTCCTTGAAATTCGATATTTACGACCAATTCATTTACAGCAGTTTGATAACTTAATTCACATATATTGTCATCTGCCTTTGAACATGATTTATATCAATTTTTACAATATTTTTAGTGACGCTATTATAATAATTGTATATCATGTATTTTATTTATCAAAACCAGTTGAAAACTATGTGACGTGTTACTGGAAAAAGTGTGTTCTCTACACATTTTCTTAATTCTGAGGACCCTACTCTGAGCCATACACAAACTGAATACTGAATACAGATGGAAATGATCTTTTTTGGCATAAAAGTTGGCTCATCTACGTGTTTTATTTCACTCGGAAGATTTATGTGTTGTTGTAACTCTCATAAATGGCGCTGCAGAACAAAATTATTCTTCACTTTAATTCAATTTTCATTCAAACTGTGATCCACATGAGCTTCATTGTTGCATTGTCTTGTGACACAGGGCACGGCGATGGGTGCGCGTGACAGAGAGGCGGAGAGTAACGGAGAGCGATGGAAAGATACAGAAAGTGATGGAGGCAGAGAGGCGCGCGTGAGAGAGAGAGAGAGAGAGAGAGAGAGAGAGAGAGTCAAGCAAAGAGAGGGACAGATACAGTAAAGCAGACCAAGAGAGAGAAACAAACACAGATTAAGAGAGAGAGACAGATAAAGAGATAGAGAGGGATAGAGAGGCAGATAAAGAGACAGAGAAGGACAGAGATAAAAAGAAAGAGAGGGACAGAGAGACAAAGTCAGAAAGAGGCAGGGATAGAGAGGAGAGAGAGAGACAGATAGGGAGAGACATGGAGACCTTTTCGTTTTCGCAAGGATTGAATTCGAAAAAGCGGGCGTCGCCGGATATTTTGCAAGTTAGTTATTGATTTGGGCTCTTGTCCCTCATCGTGCATTTCATGGATAAATCCACTTTCTGCCGAGACAACATGGAGACCGATCATTTGAATAACTATATTTTCCACTGAACTATAAAAGATGTGCGCAGGGAGTGAAGTTACATTTATGTTCAGAAGCATAAGAAGGGGTAACCTCAGAATTCGCTCAAAGGATCAGGAAAACTGGACGGAAAACGAAATCGAGAAGGGGTAATTGACCTAGAAACTAGTTACATGTTTAGAATTATACAGTCCAAATGGTAATTAATACATTCGTAAAAATTATACCTAACCTCCAGGTACTGATCTCCACGCATTAAAAACTGGCGCTCCAGCCCATTAGGTTGCCGGAAGAAGTCATTTCGAAGAGCGATGCAGACTTTGAACTGTTTTAGAAAATGTTCAAAAATGCCACCTGGCCAGAACGAAAATTTACATTTATTAACGGAGAATGAACTAAAATAATACTCAGACATATAATACTTCTTCAATTAATTAATGGCCTAGAGGAAAATAGATACAATTATGACTCAATAATGTTTTATTCAGCTTCCACCGAGTCTGGAAATGGCAATTAGTACTACTGAAGCATGTTTTAATGTTATTTTAAAGTCTGTGATTCCTAAGACATTTTAAAATTGCTAATGTATATAGAATTTTCCATCGAGGTCTATCTACCTCGTTCTACGGTTTGTATTTGGATATTGAATAATACATTAATTGCTATGAGCCTTCTATTGTTGTAAATACTAAGTTTTTAAATATTCAAAAACATAACTGTGAGATGTCAATGGCAATCTTCTTTAAAAAATTACATTATCATTGGAGGCACTGTATACTACTACAATAATAGTAAAAGAGAGTAAACTCATAAAAATATAATTTGAAAATATGAACGATTTGAATGAATTTTGAATAATTTCTATTCTGTATAATATCATGAGAAACAATATCATCGCACGCATGTTATTTTTACTTTACACAATTTCAGAGGAGGAACAAATATCGGAAAATGACTACTAACAGTGTTATTCAGAAACCTTAAGATAGAATAATAGGACAATCTCTACATTGTCGAACATAACTATAGTTTTCACACATTCTACATGTAGTATATAAGCCGTTTGCACTACATTGCCATGACCTCGCCTCTGAAGAACATCGTGGGAAAGGACACGTTCGGCGCTTGTTTAGGTACACAACCTTAAATAAACGGTGACTTCCCTCATGATAGCAGATCCCATCTGGAATCCATTACTTTTTGCATCAGCAACATTATGTTTCGCGTGAGCATCTGCGTCTATTCGGAGAAAATTATTCTGTGACTTCTTCAAGGAGAACTTTCACTAATATTGAAATATCTTGATCTTCGAAGAGAAGCTAATTACTTCATATCACAAATACGAACGTAATTCCAGTAATTAATTGAGGCAAAATTGGCATTTGAACACAAAATAATTAGAAATTATCGGATTATTTCAATAAATACACTAATTGGCATGGAATTTTCTTGTACTAAAACAGCAAAAAAAGATAGATTAGTGTTATTGTATTCATCTCTTCCACTTCAAATTGAGACCAAGTATCTCAAATTCAGATTGGAACAATCATGCAAATCCAGCCCGAGTGTCACGCGCTGAGTATGCCGACTTTTAAGTTTGTACAGGTACTCCTCCTCTAGGCTGCACCCGGGTTCGAGTGTGTGCCCTTCCCCCATAGAACGGTGGCCAAGGCAGACAGCTCTGGTACCGGCAGGGCGACCTGCGGGCGACGCGCCCCTCTCGCTGCGGCCGCTCCCTCAGAGGGGGAGCGGAGACTGGCCGCCCCCACGGCCACTCCAGATGCACAGAGAAGCGACTCGACTCCGCTAGTGAATTGACTGTGGATTGATTAGGCGCGACAACTGTTAAGGTCATTAGCCCCGTTAGTGTGATGCGGGACGGGGCGGTGATCTTCCCTCACTGGATGGCGATATCCTTTGCCGGCCTACCCGTTGCCTTGCCAGGTATCTGTCACCGCCCCAGCCAGAACAAGCTCTAAGCTCCCTACATAGGTGGTAGTGTAGTGCACGTATGTGTGTTTGTAAGTAAAGGGGAAGGATAGAAGAAGGATGTAGTAGGAAAGATCGCGTGCGATACGAGGTCCGTTTGTTGGGGTACTGTTCCGGGTGTTGATCGGAAAAATACCGATCGGAGCAGCCGGCCGATAGAATTCGCGTCAAGACAGCGTGTCGAAACTAGCTACCGTCGGGACTCGAACCTAGGACCTCCCGGGCTGAGGAATTGCAGTGACAGCAATGGACGCCCTGAGCCAGGCAAGCCGGTTTGACTCCGCCGAGGTTGGTCTGTGCTTCAACCTCCACCCCCAACGTCAGCTCAGGCTGGGAGGCCGGTAGGACCCTTTTTCCCGGTCGGCTGAGGGCTGGCAATAGGACGATCGCAGCGTAATTCGTAGCTACGGATGGGAAGTCTGGTCACGAGATGTTTGACAAATTAGAGAAACGCTTTAATCCATTGCTTGGAGGCATCCTGTACTGTACAACAACGAATAGCAACACATGAGCAGACCACGTTAAAATATTTGAAAGCACTGTTCATGAAAATCAGCTCATGGTAAGAGGTCCGCGCGACAGATCAAAACCATCTTGCGGAAACCGTTCAGGCGGCTGAACCGTTAAGGAGTTTTTGCATGATGCCGACACGGCACTTACTGACCCCATAACTCCTCTCACGAACGCAGAAGATGGTAT